ATCTAAGTATCTGATTGCCTACTACAATTAAGCGGTCAATGTTTGTGTTTTAGTTTTTTAAAACAACTCACGTGTCTCAAATAAATACCGACATGTGTTCGTGCTTTTAAATTTTCTGATGGCAGAATAGTCGTCACCGATTGTGTACTACCTCTCGATTGTGAAATATGGACTAAATGTACTTTCGCTTTGTGAATGATCCATGCATAGCAGGATCCACCTGGTCTCGTTCTTTTTGAAGTTAATATTATTCACCAAGTTTTCGTTTTGTACTCTAATTTGTATCTTCTTTTTAGATTTAAGAGAATCGAACACCAACACCCTACAATTGCCTCTTATTAATTTAAACGTATCAAACTTTCATTAGTGAACCAAGAATGCTCCAGAATGCACTTGAAATATTTCTTTGCGATTAAAAGAGTTATTGATATAGGTAGAAAGGTTATTATTATTGGATGTTCTTGTAGCTATTGTTGTTCGATTTTACACTAAATGCTGATTGTAGGATTTTCAAAGTTTCCGTTAAATGTATTCATTAAAAGATGTGAGATATTCAGACGCAAACATCTCCATCAACTCGTTTTACTAATCATGATACATTGCTGTATCAGAATTTTTGCGTTAATTTATCATAAAATTCTGCTGTTTCAGCGCCTGGGATTTTCATATCATGAAATACTGCTGTTTCAGCACCTGGGTTTTTACTTATGAAGTACTGCTGGTTCAGCAGCTGGTTTTGTATGCCCCACCTACGAAAGTAGCAGGGGCATTATGTTTCCTGGTCTGTGCGGCCGTTCGTACGTCTGTTCGTCTATCCGTCCGTCTGTCCCGCTTCAGGTTAAAGTTTTTGGTCAAGGTAGTTTTTGATGAAGTTAAAGTCCAATCAACTTGAAGCTTAGTACACATGTTCCCTATGATATGATCTTTCTAATTTTAATGCCAAATTAGAGTTTTGACCCCAATTTCACGGTCCACTGAATATAGAAAATGATAGTGCGAATGGGGCATCCGTGTACTATGGACACATTATTGTAACTTATCATGAAATATTGCTGTCTCAGCCCAATGGATATTCATATCATGAAATACTACTGTTTCAGCACATGCCTTTTTACATATCATGAAATATTGCTTATTCAGCACCTGGATTTTTACATATCATGAAATATTGCAGATTCAACACCTGGGTTTTTACATATCATGAAATATTGCTGTTTCAGCATCTGGGTTTTTATATATCATGAAATATTGCTGTTTAAGCACCTAGGTTTTTACATATCGAGAAATATTGCTGTTTCGGCATTTGGGTTCACTTTGATTTTTATGGGGTTCCAAAATGCTTAAATTTAGTTTTCTGTGTCTTGTTGTATTCCTTTTATCGTTTTGATTTTAGCCATTGTTTTATTTCCCAAGTTTAGATTTATTTTAAACTTTTTTTTAATTTGTAGACGGTTCATTGTCTTTTTGTCGGTTTTCTGTTTTAGCCATAATTTTGTCAGTATCTTTACAAATTATGGGTTTACATTTTTCAATTTGTATCTTCCGCCTTCTTTCAGATGGAATGTTAAGACTAGTCTGGTTTACACCAACTATAAATAAAGCTTAATGTATGTCTAGGATACTGTTCAAGAAAAAAAATGGAAACGGCAAAAAAGGCTTTACATATACTTAGACATTTAATGCAAAAAAAATAAATATAATACGACTCCAAAATGGAATTCTTTTATGATAATTGTTGAAATGATTGACAGAAACTTAAACAATAAAATTGTCAGCGAGTTCAGAAGTCAAAATCTGTAAATATCACTGAAATTATCATTTGTTTTCTTTCATTGGTTAATAACCTTATCTTACAAGATTTTTGATAATTCTAGCGGTTTGTTTTCTTTGATCATGAGTTCAAATATTTAAAAACAGACTGTTTTTAAATTTTTGCATCAATTGAAAAATGCACTCAAACGTCTGAAAGATCTATTACACATATTTACGATTTACCTGTGAACATATTTGTATTTCAACTTCCTGATATTCAATACATGACTTTGTCTTCATTTATAGTGTCAATGAATAATGAAGAGGTGTCCTTAACATTCACACATACCTGTATTATTATCCCAAAATGAATAATAAATATAAATAAGTACACCAAAAATTAAAGACGTAAGACAAACATTAAAGAAGAAAGACAAAAATTTAAGAAAAAAGACAAAACAATAAATGATCTTGAAAAGAAAATGTTATTATCCATGGCATCTAGATCGAAAACTATAGGTGTAGTTAATAATGTAATAGGTATCTTCTTTTAACGCACTCCTGCTGGCACATGTGTCCATCGGTCTCCATTAAGACGGCTTCGTACAACTCGGTCAAAAATATTTTTGTAAACAATATTATACATTTATTAAACTAAATGAGAACAGAAGATAACAAGGGATCAATGACCAATTCAAAATCCGATATAAAACAGAAAATACAATGCCTTAAACTAAATCGACGAAAAGACATACAACAATTACAATAATGAACACTGCCAACTCGGGACAAGTACAAAAACTTTAACGAATTTGTTAAAAAGTCAAGTTGCAATTTAATTTCGATATAACCTTATTCTGTTAAGCAGATTTTATTTGTATAGTTATCTTGTATTGCCATGGTGATTTATATTCGTACAGTTACCTCGTATTAACATGGCGAATCATATGTGTATAGATATCTCGTACAGGTATAAGTATTGCAGATTATATTGTTAAGTTATTTCGTATTATAATACCATTGTATTTTAATTAACTTTTTTTATGTACACTGCCTTTATTATCTATATAAAGCTATTTTAGTTTTAGCGACCCAAGCCGTTTGTGAGCAATATACACAATTTCCCCCAAGTAGCATCTGAATCGCCTGCTGGATCGTCAGGCCATTGTAAAAGATATGCATAATTCCAAATGTACGAAAACCCAATGGGAATATCAGTTATTGTAATATCTATTGTTATAAATAATACGCTCTAGATTTTTAGTAATTTTTTCATATTTTGATCTGTTGAGTTCAAACAAACAATCATATGACAATATGAATTCTGGCGTGATGAGAAATATAATGTATCAGCTGTTTTGGATGCTCTATGTCTCGTTGTCTGCATGACTACTTCCACCTAAAAAATCGCGTTCTTTAATGCACAACGTCAGTCCCTAATCGTCCTCAAGTTTTGGTGCTAAGACATCTTTTATCCAATACACACTCTCTCCTTCATATGATATATTAACATCATACTGAAAGTTCCTCCGGACTTCAGGCTCAACAACACGGCGAATGAATTCATATATAGAGAATATGATCTTCCATCTTTTACTATACAACACAAGCAGCAGGGTTATTACGACAAATGTAGATATTAAGGTTGATGGAAAAGTTAACCACATAGTACTCTTACTGTCCGCAAACAAGTCGGATAAAGAGTTGTAGGCAATAAGTGTATCAATAAATGATCCATTAGATAATTTACATTTGTATGACCGGCTGTCCAGAATAACTTTTGTGTCTTGTATCCACCTTATCAAATCTACATTTTCACAAGTGCACTCAAATGCATTACCACCGATATACAGATGAAGTTGATGCATTTTATCCGCCCAGTTTCTGATGGCTGAACTCACACTTGTTAAAAGATTCTGTCTTATATCAAGCATCTTTATATTAGTGAGACCAGTTCACTGTTCAGGAATAGACTGGAGAAAATGTTTTGTTAAATATAAACTTGACAAATTAAGCATTTGCTGTACAATATACCAAATATCATGTTCATATATATCCAACGATACGACAGATCGAAAATTTTGAAACAATCGGTTTCCTTGAAACTTTATTCCATCACTAAAACCAACATTTTCCCACACACTAATGTTTTAAGGTTATGAGAAGGAAAACGATTAAACTCGTTCCTTAAAAATGAGTAGTATCTTTAATCACAAATGAAAGTTTCCAGATGAAGCTGACTGTTATCTATGAACTAATTTGCTTGTGAATAACACATATCCATAAATGTAATGTTGTTGTCAGCAGGAACAATAAACATTTTTCGTGGGAAAGATCTAAGGATCGTGTAGCTGACATTAATTTTCTCCAGGGATTTTGGAACTGTCACGAAACTGCCATGACAACTATTTGAATTAAAACCAGAAACATCTGAATTTTTCAGCATATATTTGACAGCATTATAAGAAAAATCAAATGATTTTAACCCAACGGCTGCTTCAAAAAAGTCTTGCCTCATTTAACCTTTCCCGTTGGCAAGCAAAAACCTGTCTCATTTAAAGGAGAGATGTAAACATTCCGGACGTTTAAGGGATAATAAAGACCAAGGTTCGTAGTCAACAATTCCATTCACGGATAAATCTTTATCATTATATCGGTTGTGAAAGTCAAAGCAAAAGTGAAATCACTACTATCTAAACTGACGTCATTAACACGACCTAAATTAATTGTAGTTATATTAGCATTACTGAATATCCGTACCAGCTGCAATGCAGGCTTCAAAAGCATAAACGTTCCAGATAAGTATATATACGTAGATGCGGAAACGGCAGCAAGGCATACTTTTCCGTAATTACAAAGTTTAATCGACAATTTTTGAAAGCTCCTCTATGGAAGATGAAAACCTCTAAAGCGTTTTATTTTTGACAGACTTATTAAATAACATGATTGGAATTGTAATTCATTAAGGTTATTCATTCGACTTAACATACACCTGTGATGTAAATCTTTTGTTCAAAATCTCCATTATTTTTCCGGAATGGAGAGTTATTTTTTATTTTGTTCATCTTCGTTCATCCGGACGTTTTGCCCTTTGGATATTTCCATGGGCACTTTCTTAAAAAGTGTTCACCCATGGAAATAATCCTAAAAGACGAAACGCGATATTGAATGAAGATGAAAACTTACTAAAACGACTGATAATGGAGTTTTTTTTAAATAGGGATCGTAGTAATACAATGAACACCAAATATCTCATTATTAATAAACAGCTTTTATTTGCGAGTAGTAATTCCATTGTATAACATATAGTATCGTTTTTACTAAAATTCCACAACATTATCCATATTTTGTTTTCCGATGCAAATCGTGGCTGAATTTTTGTCACGGATAGTATCCAAGCGGGTAAAAACGGATATTTTCCATTTAGTGCTAGTCCTCTTCTGTGCATCTACAAAATATCAAATGTGTTTACTCAGTTGAATTCTTTTGTGATATTGAACACATTAAAACATTATTCAATAAGGAAAATTAGTCTTATAGGTGCATGATTTTTTTTATTAGTTGTTATTGGCTTTGAACTAGCTGTCAGTAACTGCGAGTACTCTCAGATCTGTACTTAGTGTCTTTTTGTTGTGGGGATGTATAAGTACGCTGCCACGTCCACTCTGTGTTTTTGTTACTTGTTTTTGTGCTTAGTATCTATCGGATGAGTTAAGCCCTTTTCAACTGATTTTTATAGTTTGTTCATATGTTGTACTGTTACACCACTGTCCAAAGTTAGGGGGAGGGTTGGGCGCCCGCTAACATGTTTAACCCCGCCACATTCTGTATGTGCCTGTCCCAAGTCAGAAGCCTGTAATTCAGTGGTTGTCGTTTGTTGCTGTATATCATATTTGTTTTTCGTTCATTATTTTGTACATAAATCAGGCCGTTAGTTTTCTCGTTTGAATTGTTTTACATTTGTCATTTCGGGGCCTTTTATAGCTGACTATGCGGTATGGGCTTTGCTCATTGTTGAAGGCCATACGGTGACCTATAGTTGTTAATTTCTGTGTCATTTGGTCTCTTGTGGAGTTGTCTCATTGACAGTCATACTTCATTTTCTTATTTTTATATTCACTTACAGATTTGATTTTAATTTTACCGGTTAAGATATCATTTGCTTGAAATTTAAAGTGTTGAATTTTGATTTTGTACAGCAAAAATCGTTTGTTCCATTTTATAATATATATATATTAACAAAAGAAATATTACTCGGATAGTTTCTACAACAATATTGTGGTAAAATAGAATAAATAGTTCAAGAAACTGAAATGGTCAAAATGGCGTATTCGGTATATTATTTGATTTTTTGTTGTTATAATTTGAAAATAGTATTAATGAATAGAATTTGAGGGGGTATGGATAACATTTGAATAAGACTTGAGTTAAATATTGGGTGAGATTTTTATTCAATTTTCAACAGAAATGCGTAACATAATCGAATTCCTTTACTGTTGTTATATGTCCAGTGGCAAATATAACAGTTATATCGGCAGTGTAAATGACGGCGTCAATCTTGAAATGTTTTAATGAAATCAAAAAGTAGTTTCCCACTCAAGTTAAAGACTTACAAAAAGAAATGTAGAAATGTTTTAATCACGCGGGTTTTTTTTCTAAAACTTTTTGCCTCCTTTCTGATAATAGGGAAGAATGAAAAATATTTTCAGTTTGCTTGTATTGCTATTTAAGACTTATCCGCTAAAACATGCATAATATTTTTTTCGTTGTTATGAGCAAAGGGAAAGAAAAAAATGTTGGGTTATGCATGAAACATGAAATACTGTTTTCTTGTTTAATTCTATTTGATCTAATAGAATGGTTTGAAATATCGAATTATGTGAATTATTGGGTACAACACGGGGAAATGAAAAGAAAACCATTACAAAATGAAATAATTATTTAAGGTGTATTTTAAGTTAGCGAAAGTCCAAATAACTGTCCATTCCTGGGAAATAATGGGCGTCGGCCCTACGGGCCCCTGCTCCATTATTTCCCAGGAATGGACAGTTATTTGGACTTTCTCTATAACTGAATCCACTTCCGAAATGGTGCAAAGGCATCATGTCGATTGCTAGGACAGACAACTTTCTAAGAACACCGAGTGCATGATCAGAGTAGTAAAACACTGTGACAAAATCTTCTGGTTGGAGCTTATTACTCCAAATATCCAATTTTGTTAGATTTTCGATCGGAAAAAGTAGTTCTGCCGAATACACTTTAGATAAATGAAGCAAAATGTGAGACATGTCTAGCTCAGTTAGATTGCATAACCCTTAAAATGATTCACTTGATAAATTACTAAGTTTTTTTTTACCTAAAAACAGTTCTTCTAAATACTTATAATTGACGAAAGAATTGTTTTCAATGCTTGTGATCAGATTTGAACGCAGATCAAGAACAGTTATGTCCACTTGTAAAATCTGACGTTTAAACGTAAGTCCTCTGTCTGAACAATTAGCTACTTTAACGTTCTCTCGTCCTTTAATTAAATGTTTGATATCACAGTCAGATGAATGTAAATATTCATCACAGTTCATAACACAAAAAATATTGTATAATGATAATCATCACCATATTTTTACCTGAATATCAAAGACAGGAATTTCCACCGTTTATGTAATATAAACTATTAAGAAAGTCCTTAGCAGATTATCCCAGGTGTATTTGAAATATTCTATTACCCTCATAATTTTGCACCCATTATTGACACACCTGTATCAGATTTAAATTACATAATGATAAGTCATGTGATGTCTGTTATAGTTGACGCGTATTTTAAAGTTTTTCTTGTCGTTGATGGTGTCCGGAATGATCAAATGAAAGACCAACCGTACGAATTTCTTTAATTTAACAATCTTGACATATCACGGTGTGTTATACGACAAAAAAAAAACCTTCAATATGCATAATCCCACCTATATAACGTAAAACAATATTCAGTTTCTGCAGCGTTTAGGTTTAAATACACGCTAAGACTTATTTATTATAAAAATAAATCTAACTAATTATTCTAGATATAAACTTTAGATATCACTGTTCTGTTCCAATACAAATATTCCTGTAGTTGCATGAAGCATGAAATATATAAATTGCTAAGATGTATAAAAATGCAAGTCACTTTGTTAGTAATTTGTTAATATAACCTTATAAAAGGGAGATGCTATGGGGTTTTCTTGTAACACGATATTTTTACTGCAGAAAAAAACAAATTTTACTCAAAACGTAATATTCAGAATAATTGTATTCCCTCTAATGTCTGGCAGTACATTTTATTTTTCAAAAAATGAGAATCAAGATCAAATATTAAAACACCCCATTTTTTCCTAATATAAAACACGTGGCTGTTCCCCTATAGAAATTTAGAATATTTGGTCATACGATGAAATAAAAGGAGGAATGGAATGTTTCTGTCTTAACCATATCATAGATGGAATATTGAAAGGTAAAGCCCCAATTGGCAACAACGCACAATACTTGTGAAATTAAGGGGGTACCCAACACTTTGACTAAAATAAATTTGGCTCGTTTAATTTTCATAAAGTTTTGACAAAATATTTACTTTGACCTGTTTACAAAAATATGAAATTTTTTAGAAATTTGAACCACACAATTCACAGGAATAATTTGGTTGGATATATAGCAATTTGACAATCACAAATTTTGATCGTTGAAAAGCTTGATTTCTCCTTACTAATAGTATGTGATTAAAACGCTCAGCTGATATTTAGGAGTTAACTCCCTTAGGTGTTCTGTACCCCCTTAAATAAATGTTTGAGAAAAGTGTACTTTGCATTATAATGAAGCAAAATATTACCCCTCTACATGTCATTATGTTATGCTTTAATATACAAATAAGGAGATGCGGTATGATTGCCAATGAGACAACTATCCACCCAAGTTCAAATGAAGTGGTTGTAAGCAATTATAGGCAACCGTGAGGTCTTCAACAATGAGTAATCCATACCGTTTAGTCGGCTATAAAAGGTCCCGACATGAAAAAAAAGAAGCAATTCAATTGAGAAAAGTAAAGGCCTAATTTATAACAAAACAATTTGCCTTAAACCCATTTCATTGAAACTTTGATTAGGGTTAGGGTATCGTCCGCATTGTTTCTACAAAAGAATGACATATCGTTTTGAAAGAAAAAATTATTCAATTAGTATCTGAACTCTTTTTCATATATGAATATAACGGCATTGTACATGATAAAAAGGGGATGCGGGAGATACCTAAGATGTATTCAAACTCATTAATCGAAGACAGCCTGACAACAACACTATGACAAAAAACCAAAAAAATAACAAAAGACATACAGCAGTCTACAATATACAACATGGAAAACTAAAGACTAAGCAACACGAACTCCACCAAAATTCGGGAACGATCTTACATGTCAGGGGATCCATGAGGGTAAACAGATACTTCTGAACATGTGGAACCCGTAATATTTTGACAAGTTCTCCGAAAAGGATATTATCGAAATCGAAGTGCTAAAACAAATTATCGAGAAACATATTTGTTTGGTTTGGCTGATTATTCATACAGCAGACAGTCGTTATTGTACACCACTACTGGTCGATTTATTGTTGTACTAATGTGAAGAAAAAAAAATACAGAACATTCTAAAAGACAAAACTAAACCACATCTTGTATAATTTCATTTTCTCACTTTCAGTGATGATGTCCTGTCACTTAATAACCCTCATTTCAATAAGTGCTTATATCTTATATATCGCAGTGAACTTGATATTAGGGATACTACCAAAAGTAGAAGCTCTACTGCATATCTTTTACTCGATATTAACAAAGATGGACTACTTCTAACTAGAATCTAAGACAAAAGTGATGATCTCAATTTTCCAATTGTCAACTTCCAGCGTGGCTCGGTATTTATATATCCCGCCATTGTGTTATTGTGCTTTGGTCATTTTTTATATTATTGTCTTTCATTTTTGCTTATGTGCTTTGTCTATAGAGTGTCTACATGCCATTTTGTTTTTCTTTGTTGACGTAGTTGTTCGTTTTATAGTGATTAAGATTATAACACAATGTTGACTGCTGTACCCCATGCTGTACCCCAATTTTTGACATTTTTACCTATTATGTCTGTTTGTTTTGACCACACATTGTTGTCACAATAATGGAATGTTATGCGTCTGTCATACCAGTAAGAGGTTTAGCCAGCTTAAAACCTGGTTTTATCAATTTTTTTTCTACATAAGGAAATGCCTGCACCAAGTCTGGAATAGGACAGTTGTTTTTCATTCGTTTGATGTGTTCGAGCGTTTGATTTTTTCATTTGTTAAAGGACTTTCTGATTTAAAAATTCCTTGGAGTTCGGTATTTTTTTATTTTCCTTTTTTCCAATTTTTTCAGCCGTAATATACCCCTTGTTCCGTCGTCGGGTGCATATCTCAGTTAAAATTTTACTTTTGTCCATGTTCAAACAAGACGTACTCCGTTAACAGGGTTGGGCTCCGAAAACAAAAACTGCTCAAGTAGTGTTATGAGAAACCTAGAACGAAGGCAATCGACGCTACACACCATCATGAATTTGTCGACCGATACGCTGTATATGTGTCTCAACTCACTCACAACTGGCGAATTCCATGATTGGGACATTTTTACTGAATAAGGATTCGCAAGAGGCCTCATTTGATGACCATTGAAAGGAAGCCCCAGGGGCAGTGTCTAGAAAAAAAAGAAATTCAAATAAACATCTATGTACAACATGAAATAGGAATGTAAACGATTTTTCAGTAATCAAATTGGCTAGATCACTGGCTTTATTTTTACAAATGCGGAAAACCATTTTCATGCGAAATATAATTTTTTTTTTACAGTAAATGACTTATCCGGAATTGTTACTTAATGGCAGAATATATGTGTATAGTTATCTCGTTTTATAACAGAATTGCTTTTCAAAATGATTTTATCTATTAAGCTGTGTATTTGTTAGAAACTATGCTATCTGCAATTAACATTCTCAGTCTTCTCCAGATATCGTCTAAACTGTAGGGATCCTTTTGCCATTCAATAAGATATGCATAATTCCAAATGAAGGAAAAGTCCACAGGAATATCAGTAATTGCTATATCTTTTGTAATGAGAATAATACGCTCAAGATTTTTTGTAATTTTCTCGTATTTTGCTCTATCGAGTTCAAATAAACAATCACGTGAGGATTTAAATTCTGGCGTGATGAGAAAAATAATGGATCTGCTGTTTTGGATGCTTTCTGCTGTTCTGTCCGCAAGACTCGATCCATTTGAAAAATCTCGCTCTTTTATGCACATGGTCAGTCCCCACTCGTCCTCAAGTTTTGGTACTAATACATCTTTAATCTAAATGGCTATTTCCCCTTCATATGATATATACACGTCATATTGATAACTCTTATGAACTTTACGCTCAACAACACGGCGAATAATTCCATAAGTAAAAAATATGATCTTCCATCTCTTACTATACACCACAAGCAACAGTGATAATGTGACAAATGTAGAAAGTAATGTCGGAACAAAAGTTAACCACATAGTACTCTTACAGTCCACAAACAATTCGGAAATAGAGTTATAGGCAATACGTGGATCAATTATTGTTCCATTTAATAATTTACATTTATATGATTGGCTGTCCAGATTAACTTTTGTAGCTTGTATCCACCTTATCAAATCTACATTATCACAAGTGCACTCAAATGCATTACCATCGAGATACAATGTCATTCCATGAATTTCATGCATTTTATCTGCCCAATTTCTGATGGTCGAACTTACACTTGTAATGAGATTGTTTCTAACATCAAGCATCTTTATTTTTGTAAGCGTATTCAGTTGTTCTGGAATAGATTGTAGTAAATTGTTGGTTAAATAAAGGTTTGACAAATTTTGCATTAGTTTAAATATATCGTCCGAAAAATACCATATATTATTTTCAGATATATCAAGTGTCTCGACAGATTGAACATTTGTGAACAAGTTGTTTCCTTTATTGTCTATTCCATCATTTAGGGCAGCGTTTTTCAATACAATCGTTTTTATGTTGTTTTTCGGAAATAGGTGTAATTCGTTCCAAGCTAATGTGTACCTGGTTCCAGCAGAAATATATGTTTCTAGCCGAAGTGTCATAAAATACATTCCAACAGTTGTAGTTGTATAAGATATATCCAAATGAGTTAGGTTATTGATTGACGGAACTATAAACAAGGGTGGGTGTAACGGGTTTACAATTGTGAAACTAATATCTAATTTTTCTACTGATTTTGGTAATATAACGTAACTGCCATCAGAACTTGTAAAATTCAAATTGGAATTCAAAGAATTTTTAATGATGAAGTTAACAACATTATAAGAATAATCCAAAGATTTCAATCGTAAAGTTTTTCCAAAAAAAGAGTTTAGTTCTTTCTGATGTTTTCTATTAGGAAGTGAAAGTCTGTTTCCTTTCAATGAAAGATGTTGTAAACATTCTGGGTGATCAAAGGAAAACAAGGATCCACGTCTGTAATCAACTATTCCATTCTGTGATAAATCGAGATTTTCTATGCAAATTGTTTTCAAATTCTTCATGATATCGGATGTAATGGTCAACGCATATGGGAACTCATCACTATCAATACTTAGGTCACTTACATGGCCAAGATTGATTGTAGTTATTGATGCATTATTGTATGGATTTAATAGCTGTAATGCACGCGTAAGATGCATAAACGTTCCAAAAAAGTCTAAGGAACGAAAATGAGGAAACGGACACAAAGCGCCAACTTCTGTTATCACAAAGTGTAACTGACAATTTCTAAGCGAAAGTTCTTCTACAGAAGATGAAAACGTCTGGAATGTTTCATTGGATAGGCGTACTAAATAACAAGATTCAAAGTGCAGTTCCCGAAGGTTGGTTATTTGAATGAATCCGCGTCCGAAATTTGGCACAGGCATCATATCAATTCCCAAGAAAGTCAATTCTCTCAGAACACCGAACGCATGATCTGGATAGTTGAATTCCTTATCATAATTGTAAGGTCGTAGCATATTACTCCTGATATCCAATTTTTTTAAGTTTTGAATTGAAAAAAAAAGTTCTGCTGAATATGCATAAGATAAATCAATCGAATTGTGAGACATATCGAGCACGGCAAGATTTTGTAATCCCAGAAATGACTTATTAGATAGTTCTTCAATTTGATTTGAGCCAATATAAAGTTCTTGTAGATATTTATAATTAGTCAACGAACTGTTCAATACTTTTTAACTGATTTGAAGATATATCTAGAACATTTATGTCTCTGGGTAAATTTTGAGGAACAAACTGCAGTCCTTTGTTTTTATAATCAGCCATTTTAACTCCAACTTTTCTATGAAATACATATTTGATATCACAATCTGATGATAGAGAGATTTCATCACACAGAATTACAATACAAATTACTGCATAAATTATAATCCTTTCCATTTTTATAAGGATCTCAAATAGTTAATGTTATAGCAGTCCTAAAGTAAAAATGGCTCTGCCAGTTCACAACACATTAACCAGGCGACAGAGGTCAAATAATCGATATTAATTTTACCAAATTACTTTTTTCAATTTCTGACGCATCGATAAAAATCTCACAATATTTACAATAACCTATTGACGTCACGTATCTTAAAATATATATATATATATATACTCACATTACTATTCATCTTTTTCACTTGAGATGCTAAGCTTCAATGATCACTACTTTAACTTTGTTCTATTTCTTTACTGAAAAAAACGGTTATTAATGACGACCATTGTTTATCGATTATCAAATATCATTAAACATATAGAAGCAACATTTCTAACTAACATAACAAAAACAAAAAATTGCATAAAACCGGGAAGTATGAAGATATCAATACTGGGGGTTCGACAGGGTAAACCGCTCTTGCTGTATATGCATACTCTACGTATTTGCGAATGAAATTGTATTTTAATCGGTTACTCCATTCCCTTCATAAATGAGTTTTGTTATGTTATGTTATACGCTTTTTGTGTCAGATTGTTTGCGACCTGTGCATGTGAATGTTCCCTTGGTATTTTTGGCCTCTCTTTTATTGAATTGTTTATTTAAATGTAAACAATATGTTGCTATTGTTTTCACTACAATCTTATAATATATTGTTTTCCATTTGAACTATTTGATATGAAAAAAGTATATCTGAACTGTGCCCTTACATTAAAAAATAACTAAAAACATTTAATAATAATATGTGTTTCATCAACACAAAATCCCCAAACCCACCAATACTTCTACAGCAGGGTTTGCTATGAAACATTATATCATTTAAAGTACAAAACCAGTCTAATATAAAGATCTTAGCTATGTGTCATGATAACTTATGAAGACACGGTATTACATTGGCATTCAAAATAATGAATATAGACATCACTGAGGCATTAAAATAAAAGACATGACAAACATCAATAACAAACCACCTCATACAAAAGCAAAGTTTGGTGAGTAACATAATCACCACCAATACCAATTTTGTATAAAGAATTTAAAAATTTAGTTTCTATTAATTTTTACTGTGAGGTAAGCAAAGCATTCCTCTATTTATCAATCGATATCAAAAAGAGGTTTAAGATATACAAAAATACAATAAAAAATAAGTCGAAAAAAGACAACAGCATGGCAAAACAAACCTTCTGTTTTCATTTGTATGACGTCATTTTATGCCAAAAGCTTTATGCGCAAACTCATGAATAATGTTGGCAAAATCTCAATTTTTATTTTAAATTTATACATCTTTTGAAATGCATCAGAATCGGAATAACAGTAGGGACTCTGTGGGATTGCGACGTCAAAGACGTTAGATCGGCCACTGCAAAAAATGAAAAAAATGAACATTCTTTCAACTGCCGAATCAATGTTTTAGAGGCAGAAAATCTGAATAAAGATAGATTTCTAGGAAGCGCAGATTTAGTTTTGTTTTAAACTGTAATATATGTGCATGATTTAAAATATTTCTTCACTTTTATTTACGATAACAAAAGCGCCTCGATCTCGACGTTCGGAAAAGACGGTCGTTTTTTAGCAGTACTAAGCACATTCCGTCTGTTCTCGCTTTAAACGAAGCCATAAAAAATACATCAGAGACGACTAAAATCAAAGTCTTTTAGCTCATTAATATTTTTGGTAGGTTTAAAGCTTCAATTCAACAATTAACTACCGTAAATTTTCGATTTTTTCAGTATTACGAATAATATGACACGTTCCCAGATCTTCCCGAAGCTTATACATAGTTCATTCGATTGTATGAAAGTTCATCTTTTAGAAAACCATATTTTACTGCAATACAATTTTAAAAGAAAAAAACGATTTCTGTTTGAAGAAAAAAAAAAAGGTTGTTGCTTAAAAAAATGCATATTAAAACAGTTAAAACCATATGCAGAATGGAGAAGAAAAGGCTAAATAGAAAAACTAAGTATTGGGAAGGTAATGCTAATAAAACCTGTCATGAAAAGCTAAAAGAAATCAATAATCGAGAAAAAGAGATACAAGAACATGTAGAAAAGTACGATGATTTGCCTAATGTTGACAAAGATATTCTATCGCGCATGTACAACTTTTTCTGTGGTCTACATCTAACAGTTAATATTGCAGATGTTATTAACAAAGTATTTACGCAAACCAAAAATATTGAAGATTTTGATAGCGAATTCAGTAATGAAAAAGCAGGTATTCTTCGAGATTTAAGATGCATTTGCAAGGCTTTTGCAGTTGGAGGTGAGGAAAAATGCGTCACATCTCTTGATTTCAAAACTTACCTGAATCGTAATGATATAAAAACTAAAGATATCAGTACTGTAGTTGCTACCGGTATCTGGGATAGGATACTTTTATTCTTTAAATTCAATAGCTTATTTCTTCGGCATTTTTTAGTATGTTGTATCGCTGATCATGTTTAATTGGTACAGTTTCTACTTTTCTATTTAATTTTCTTCAAAAACCTGATAAAATTATTATTTAAAGAGCAATAGCTCGTATTAGGTGTCCGATGACGAGATGTTGGCTGTATTGCTGAATTTGTTGATGTTAATTAACCTTATATTTTGTTGGTTACCGTTCTTGTCAATTTAATATCGCTTCTGCCAAATACTTGTTTCCTGTTATCCCTATCGATAAAAGTGTCTGCAAAGGACCAAAATAAGAAATTAACAAATTTGCCTTTCAAGGATAATAACTCATTTATAAGGGCAATATTCCAACCTATTTGTAGGTCTTATTTTGTTGAGCATTTCTGTTGTTTATGTTTTCTTTCTATATATTATAGTTTCAGAAAAAAAAATAAAATGTTGCTAAAATCGTCTTTCAAGGACAATAACCCATATAAAAAGAAACAGAAGACTCACTGACAACGCCGTTGCAAACAAGGAAAAATGACGAAAAGACCAAAAACAGCAAACAAGACACCTCATAGAAAACTACAGATTAAGCAATCCGAATTTAACTTAAAACCGTTGTAAATTTTAGATGCACCAGAAGGGGGAGCATATCTTGCTCCACATGCGGCATCCGTCGTTTTGCTTATTCAAGTTCAAATTCGGAGAACATTCTTATTCGGTGATGTATCAGAGAAACCAGAACGGTAACAGCAGTTGGAAAATATCGGTCACTATCATTGTCAACCAACTCGATATAACATCCGTAATTTTTTTCTGTGGGGTGACTATAACTTTCACACTCAGAATCCTTGATTTAATAGCTGTTTTCAAAGCAAGAACACTTTTTCAAGAACATCACGATAGGAAACGCAAACACTTGAATATCGTATTAACCGGGAAATATGTAATCCATATGCAGGATCTGTGGAAATAATGCTGCATATGAATGGAAAGTTCGTAATTGGGAACCTGTAATCATGTGTTTGGCTTATTAAGTTTTTCTCATCAGACCCTTTTTGTCTATTTCTAGATATATGTCGTCAAGATATTTGGAAGACTTAACTGACCTGCGGTATCCTTAATGTCATGTTCTATAGGGTACATATACGCTCAATATTTTCATCACACATTGCATAACTTAGTGAGAAGATACCGTCTATATAACTTATCGTGGAGTTTAAAGATAATGCTAGATTCTTTTGCAGTCTTCCTCCATTCTCAATTTCATTCCTCAGAAAACCAGTGAATAAAGAAACAAGTCGGCTTGTAGAAACGCACAGTTGATGCCCACTAGCAAACACATCTTTTGTCGTCATATTTGTATTACGGTATGGTTGTAACAGCTGCAATGCGCGCCTCAAATGCATAAACGTTCCGGAAAAATCTATCACGTGGAGTTTTGGAAACGGAAATAATGCGTTATATTCTGTAGCAACAAAGTGCAACCGACAATTTCTGAGAGTTAGCTGTTCTACAGAAGATGAATAACCCTGGAAGTTTTCATTCGACAAGTGAACTAAATAACATGAGTCGAAGTGTAATTGTTTTATGGTTGTCATTTGACCGAATCAGCTTCCAAAGTGTGGCAAAGGCATCATATCGATTCCCAGGAAAGACAACTCTGTCAGAATACCGAATGCATGATCGGGATAACTATAATATGTCACAAAATCTATCGGTTGAGGCATATTTCTCCTGATATCCAATGTTGTTAAGTTTTGAATTGGTTGAAATAGTTCTGTTGAATACACTTTAGATAGATTCAGTATGTTTTTTTTTTTTTAACTTTTGATTTTTTTATTTCCAACAATTACAACATATACATGACATACATACAATATAATACATATATATATACAATGTCATTATTATAAATACATCTTAATTGGAAATATTTTACATTTTCTATTGAAAAGATAAAAAAAAATATATAAATTAATAAATAAATAAATAAATAAATAAATAAATAAATAAATAATGATAACTAACAGATTGGAGTCAAGAGTAAAGAAGAAGGAAAAAAAATAAAATAAAAAAAGATAAAAAAACAAAAGGATTATCCAGTTACATCCCTATTTATATTTTAAATATCAAAAATTTATGTTGAAAAATATTTACAAAATTAACTAGACATATTTCTTTCGTTACAGCCATCAACACAGATCAAGTACATAACATTACAATAATATTTTCTTTAAAATAGATTATAATTAAATAGTCATAAGTTATTGTAACAAAAATAGACATTATCTGGTATTCAATAAAAGTTTTTCAAAAACATTCCATACATTGTCAAATTCAGTTATCTTTTTATTTTTTACAGCTATCATACTCTCTAATTTATACATATCTTTCAGCTTTATTATAGCTGCTTGCAATGAGAGATTCTTTTTAAAGAATCTAGAATTATACACATATTGTTTAATATAAAGAAAAATCATGTTGTATGGGTTGTTGGGGAATATCTTGGATAAGTCTCTAAAAAGAAAGTTTAATTTTTTCATTGGGAGACTTATTCCACCAGAGAGGAACCAGTTATCAATATCCTGTAGAAAATTTTGTACAGTATTGCAATTCCAAAATAGGTGTTCTATAGACTCGTTCTCTGATTTACAAAATGTACATAAAGGATCATCTGTCAATTTTATTTTAACTAAATACTGA